TTGTTTTTGTTCTAATATCAGGCTTGGACTGGAATGGTGTGCTTTAGTGTATTTTTATTATTTATGTAATACCAAGTTCTGTAATAATAAATATGTAATATCAAATTTTACAGTTTTACTTGCATTGCAACAACATCTTTTTAATTTTGATCTTGGCATATAGCATTTATTTCTGTATTATATAGTCTTTTAATTTTTAAATAATTTTAAACTTTACCTGATTTATGTGTTAAAATGGCCGAGCAGTTAGCGCGTCGACATATGGAGGTGGAGATTGGGGTTCGAGTCCTATCGACAGAACCTTTTTTTTTAATTGATTTTTTTTTTTTATACAAAATAAAACACTTTAAAAAAGAATAATGAAACTGTTTTGTTTTGCGTTTTAAAAATAAAAGTTTTTTTTTAAAAAAAAAAGCAAGCTTGCCATGCGGCAACCTAAACATTTTTTGAACACAGTATGGGGTGTTTAAATAAAATGTTTTTAAGAACATGATTAAAAATCTTATTTCTTTTTTGAATAAGGAGTTTGGACCCTGTAAAAAATAAAATATGAGAAGAGGGAGCGGTGGGAAAATATGCTATGTCTATAATTAGTATTTTTGTAGTTAATTTACCAATTGTTAGTCGATGATGCTGTTGTAGTTTACTTTTTTTTGTAAATATTGTACATTTTGTAAATATTATTTTTGTAAATTTTGTGAAAAAAAATTATATATTTTGTTTTGTTATTATGTATAAATAAATTGATCACAGCTGTTTCACTCAATATAAAAACGAGCGTGACGTCATGAGTTTATCAAAAAAAAAAAGTATTTCTGCATAAAAAGTATAAAAATTCACAAACTTTAAACTAATAGTAACTTTTTTATATAAATGCTTTCATCTAGCAATTAAAAAAATATAAAAGATTTATCTTTCCTTGTAAATAAATATTTACATTAATTGGTATAAAAATAAATATTGCCAAAATATTTTTAATAATTTAGAACCACTTTTCTAATTTTCGCATATTTTCCGGAAAACATGAGTTGGGCCAACTAAGATTTCATAACATAGCTCAGTGCTTGATAGTTGAAATTTGGAACATTTAACCCTAAATGCCCATTCTATCAGATTCCTGCGTCATCCTAGAGATTTTTTTACAAAAAGACTATTTTTAAAGCATTTATATTTTTTAATTAATCGTTTTTAAATGCAAAACGTAACTTTTTTGATGGATGACGTAAGTTAATGAAATTTCAACCCTTTATGCAAATGAAAATAAAAAAATTATTTTACTTGCCATCAGCTATGTTATGAAATATGTTTTCAAAAATGTCATGTTTTAAAACTAATCTTGTTAGTTTTAGGCGTACATTTGTGTTGACGTTTTTTTGCGATGATGTAACCTTTATGCGTTACATCCCAAACTATTTATAAACGAATATTCTCCAAACAACTGTTTCGGCGAGTCAATTTTTGAAGTGTAAAGTAAACAAAGTTATGCGGAATTTTTCTCTTTGGATTATAAAACTAATATCAGACAAGTTGTTAAATCCACTTTTATCTAGTGCATATATTTCTTAATTAATATTATTTGATTTGTTTTTATTACATTGATTAATAAGTCAATATTATTTTGATAACTATGTATTCAACTGAGAGGGAAATTCTAAAACAACATATTGGATGGAAAAATGGTTGGGAAGATAGGTGTAACTTTTCTTTTGTTAAGCGATTAATTAGGACAGATAAGATCAGTAACAATGTCATTTCCATTTTAATGACAGTCTTTAAAATAAGAAGTGATTTATTTAGTTTTATGAGTTTTCTTTTGCCAATTGATTTTGATATGCCTAGTAATGACAAGTTTGATAAAATTTACCTAAAGTTAACACGCCAAAAAAAGAAATCTAAAAAAAATTTTAAAGCTTTAAAAAACGAAGAATTTTTTAAAATGCAACTGTCGCAAGCTCCACCCAAAAAAAAAAAAAATCAGCAGATGCAGATGACTTTTTCACTTTAAATAACAGTCAGGAGCTACTGAATCAAATTGATCAATTAATTTCTGAAAATAAAACAAATATGGAGCAAATAGAAAAATTTAAAATGCAAGTATTTAAGTTGGAAGCTGAAATTACAGATTTAAATTCTAAAAATAGGGCTCTCAACACACATTGTAACTCATTAAGTTCTCAATTAGAGACTATGAGTATTAGGCTAAAACAGGAGGAGCAGTTCCAACTTTAAAAAAAAAAAAAAATTAAAACAGCACAGCGTAAATTTGCATCTGCTCGTGCCAAAAATGTATGATTGCTAAAAAAAAAAAAATATTGAAAAAAAAATTGCAAAAATTAGTGATTTAAGCCAGAACAGTTGCCAAATTTGCAAATGTTTTGCTAGTAGTGATAAGGATTTAGTTGTGGTTGATTCTTATTTAGACTACGACAACATTGGTTCCTCTGAATTATTTTGTGGGTTTAAATTAAGTAATCCACAGAATATATCAGTTAAAAAGCCAATAGTTAGTAAAAAATATACTTACATTAAGTTAGGAAATGGTAAACCTTATTCTAAGTTAGGTAGGCATGCTGCAGCTAGACGATCTAAACTTGCTTTTATATTCCTTCGTTTATTAGCTTGTTCAGATTTAGAAAGTGATTTGTCTATGTTGTTTTGTGATTCTATGTCTTGTGAAAAGTCAATATTTTGTTGTGTTGCAAATAAGTTGGGTTTAGTTAAGCAGTTAAGTGTTTCTGATGCTGTAGAGCTACAGAGCCAATTAAGGATGCCCACGGCTGAATTCCGACGTATTCTGTTTAATCTTGGTGCAAGGATTCTCCCATCTGAGCCCAAGATAAGACAAGAACAAGAAATGCGGACAATGCATGTCAATAAAGAACATGTCACTGTGAAGTCCATGTTACTTTATCCATCTGCGAATGAACCACCTTGTTTAGTATCTGTACTGATGGTCAAGAATTTGACAACTTATATTGAAGAGGTTTTTACTAATCTTTATGTATGCGACCACCTCAATTCGGATGTCAGTTTTGGCGAAGAAGTATGGCTCTTTTTTGCTGGTGATAAGGGTGGGAAGTATATGAAATTCCATTTTGAAATTGTCAATTCTAAATCATCAGGATCTGTATACGATGTTCACTTGTTTTGTATGTATCAGGGTTCAGACTGTTGTGAGAATATAGCCTTAGTTCTCGGGCATTTTGCCAACGACATTAAAAGAATTCAGTCGTCAGATTTTAAGCTAAAAGGCAAAATAGTCAGGTTGTTCTTAGGTGGAGATTTTCATTTTATCGATGATGTTCTTTGACACCAGGGTTCAGCTGCTAGCTTTCCTAGTTCTACAGACCTAGTTAAGTTGAATTCTCTAAGAAACCATGCTTCTATGCCTCACACACCTGCTAATTGTAACATCTTAAGGAGGACAATACAATCTCTAGAAAGTGCTTCCAATGAGAACTTGTTTGAAAATAGACAAGGTGGAAACCTAAGAACTTTAGGTAAGTTTCATAATTCAATTATTGCTCCTGTGATTTTCCCCATAATAACTTTAGATAATGTAGTACCACCTGTTTTGCATATTATGTTAGAAGTTGTGTTAAAACTGTATAAGTTATTGTTGAAGGAGTGTAAGACTTTAGATTGTCAAGCTGTTTTGTCTTTGTTGCATAATGAGAATGTGAGAACGAATGAATTGTGGGCTGCTAAAAGCGTTGAATGTTCTAAAACAGCAGAAGCTTTACATTTATTAGGAAATCAATTTGTAGACATTGCAAATCTACAGGCGTGTTGGTTAGCTTTTAATAAAAATATTTCTGAATTATCTTTAAACTCCTCCAATAAAAAAATAACCTGTAAACAGCAAGAAATGTGTGATAGTATTAGGTGTTTAATTACAAAATACGATTGTAACATTGATTGGATGCAGTGTGGTACGTGCCAAAAATTGTTTCATCAATTTTGTAAATTATTGGTGATTCGGAAAAGAGTGTATTGTGTGACATTGAGAAGTATGAGTGTTTAGCATGTCAGGGTGAAGATATAGAATGTCTTGACCTTTATATTTCTGAAAAAATTTCTTTTATACGCGCACAACGGGAACTTTTAGACGCTGAGTATATTCGATTGCAGATGGAGTGTGAAAACCTAGAAAAAGAATATAAAAATAGCATAGGGCCTCATGAGAGGTCTCTTTATAAGGCCCTTGAAGATATGAAGGTTGAGCGACAAGCTTACCATGGTAATGTATTTGTAGGTAATCATTGCAAAATAGTATTAAGAAACCACTATAAACTTTGTAGTGTTATTGATGATGAAGCAATTAAAAATAGATTTCTACGTGTGTTTAGTGTTTTTAATAAGTTGCAACCTATTCTTTTTTGGCAAAAATTTCTTTCCCATGCCGAAATTACTGAGCTTCATCAATATATAAATTTATTTGCTATTGAGTTTCATGCTTGCTTTCCAAATGAAAGTATCACACGAAAAATGCATGAACTTATTTTTAATGTGCCACTATTTGTAAAATTCCATAAAACTATGGGGTTGCTAAGTGAAGAGGAGGGAGAGTGCATAATAGCGTAAATAAGGAATTAAGACAGTTGCATTCAGTAAGAAATCAGGAGCAGAAGCTGCATCTTGTTTTAAAACGCTTTGAATTGCACAGCAAAGCTGCTAGGAAGTGTGTTGTGTGTTCTGAGCGTGGCGAAAATTCATTTTATAGACAAAGTCTTTGTCTTGTTTGTGGTCATCAAATTTAGTTAAAATATTTAAAAAATTAAAAACAACAACAACAAAAAAAACTATTTACAAGTAAGATAAATTATATGAGATCTTTAATTTGTATATAAGATAATTTTATTCTGTTCTAATATCTGTGTAATGTTAGTTTAAAATATCATTTTTTTATTATATTGATTTTATATATTAGGTAGGTGCCCATTCTGTTAAGTTCTGTTAAGGTAGGTGCCCATTCTGTTAAGTTATTTATACCTAATACCTTCACTCAGGTTAAAGAATGAAATATTAGTCTTGCATCAAATGTATGTAAAAATCTAGCTTTTATATATTAACTTGTGATCAGAGCAACTGGTATGTTGGTTGGGTATGATCTTGTATGTTTGTGTATTTAATTTAAAAAATATATTGTCCTTCATTATATGTAACATTTTTTTATAGATATATTACATATCCATTTGATGTTTATCACCAGAAGTTAGTTCTACCTTTGCAGTACCTCTGCTCTACATACCTCCTCGCTGGTTAAAGAATGGAATATAAATCTCATATCAAGTTGGTGTAAAAATTTAGTGAGTATGAATCTGATATCAATTGGATGTACAAAGATAGTTTACTTCTTAAAGAACCTATCAGTAAACCAACTGATTATAAAACAGTTTTTAATGGGAATAAAAACAAATTTTCAAAAGATTTCAATTAGCTATTTGTATATTCAAACACTTTATTTACTGAAGATTTTATTTTAGAAGAGACTATAGATTCAAGTGCTATAAAATAATTCTACTACCAAAAGCGAGGTTAATTCAAAAACTTAAACTCAAATTTGGTCATGAATTATTTTATTAGACTTGGTGAGTCTTTATTTATTAACAACTTAACACCATATTATTAGAACTGTATGCACAGAAAAAAATAAATGCTTAAGCTTTAAATGTTTTGACTAAATATTCCAAAATCGAAATCTGGCTTTTCATTGCAATGCAATGAACTTATTGGCTTAGGAAAATAAGTTTCTAAAACAAGAACTCCTAGGTTTAAAAATGTACTCTTTTAACAGCTAATCCCCCTTTTAACTACATTTTTCATAACTTTACGAAAAGTGCGGTTTGCTTTCAGACCTCAATAAAGTCTGTTTTAGCTATCCTTAAACAATTAAGTAAGGTTTTTTTGTTTTTATAATAGTCAAACAATGAGTATATTTGAGAAATAAATTTTTCTGATTTTTTTTTGATAAAAAGTAACATCAAATTACTTGAATTCAGCCAACTTCATCATTTGTCGCATTTTTTTTAAACTTAAAGAAGTTTTTTTACAATGCATTAAATGTCGTAAGATGAAACATTTTATTGGTGTTTTTATTCTTTTTACAAAACAAAATTATCTTTAATATTTTAAAAGTTTTAGAGGTTTTAGTAACACCCGATATTTATTTATTTTTAGTAACACCCGATATAAGTCGATATTTTCAAAAAATAACAAAAGCCATTAAGCTCGGTTTGAAACAGCTGTGTGATTTACACTTAATACATGTGGGGCATTTTTTCTTTTTTGAAAAAACTTAGTTACATAAAATTGGCGAATTAGATAAGTCGTTAAGTAGAATGCCAAGAATAAAAATGACGGTTATTGTTGCTAAGGGTCATTAATAGACAAGTAAAATATAAATTAATCAGGGTTTTTTATAAATTATAAACTAATCAGGGTAATTTTATTTGTAAACCTAATAAATAGGAAGATAACATAGTTCAGGTAGATTTGTTTTCAGTTTTTCTCCCAACTTTGATATCTTATATCAAAAAATATGGGCACTCGAATAATTATGGACGGTAGTGTATTAAACTTTATTTGGAACCACAACCATAATGGTTTGTATTTTATCTATGTGAACGAAAGTCTATGCAAATATCTATATATGTAAATTTTAATTTCTTTAATTAGCAATCAGTATTATTATAAAGTAGACTACATCAAATTTTACAGATTTACTTTTACCTAACAATTTCATTGCAGCAATATCTATTTTTTTTAAAGCATTTATATGCCCTTGTATGAAGTTTAATAAGTCTTCTTTTTATTAAACAGTGTTAAAAGATGATACAGCATGCCAGAGCAGTTGAAGTGCTTGGCTTGGGTTTAAATCCTTTTGCTCACACATTTTTTTTTTAATTTTTTCTAATTTTCTAGAAAACAAAGAAAAAAATTTTTAATGGCCTATAGATATTATATGCATGACATATATAAAGATATTATATACTATAACAAACCAAAGGGGGAGAATTTTTTAAAACATTTTTAAAATTCTCTGTTTATAAGTAAAACAAGCTATTTTAGAAATCTCTTATCAAATTCACTTATATAAGATACTCTTATAAGATCCGTATACAGAAAAGGTCTGCATGTTAATTTTTTTTTTTTTGCCAATTTTGTCTGGACTCGCGCTTAAAGCAATTTATTTAGAAAATTTTAAAATTATTTTATTTTACCAAATAATATTAAAGTGAGTAAGAAATGATCTACGTGGAATAAATTAGTATAAAAATGGTCGCTTTGGTATAGACCCGTATTTTACTGGTTTGGAAAGCTAGGATATGCATATAAAAAAAAAGTATAGAGAAGGTCAGTGTGGAGTAGACTTACAAAGACCTGTGTTTTTAAGGGTCCGGTCATGTGAAAATTTTTATACCGATGGTCACATTACAAGCATGTATATAGACAAGTACTAATATCCAATCGGCGCTTTACGCAAAATATTGAAGTAAGGAATAAGTATAGAAAAGGGCAATTTGGAATAAATTTACAAAGACCCATATTTTATGGGTCATGATAGCTAGTAGATATTATTCTTGGTACAGATTTTCAAGAGTTGCATGAGAATATTACCATTAAATATTGTGGGAAAAGACAACACAAAACGTTTGTAGCTTTAACAACAATGAAAACTGAAATTCTTAAATTTTTTGCTAATCTCACAAAAGATTGCTGAATCTTTAGATTTTTTAGGTTACTGTATATCTTATGTCTCTTTAAAACCTGATCCTCAGTTTTCAGGTAAAATTAGACCTTTGAACTCTGCTACTCAATTCCCACTCAATGAGCAGCAAGTATCAGCACCTGAAACATTAAAAAATAAGCTTGTTTGATCTTCCATGCAAACCATTGATGAGAATATACCTTTTATTGTAGAGACTGGTGCTTCTGATTTTGCCATACCTGCCACACTTAACTAAAATGAAAGGCCTTGTTTCCACATTCTTATGGTACCCATTATCGTTCTGGCCGATGTAAGTAGGATAGATACATTTACTTGTGTTAGATATGCAGCAATAAGTTCAGAATCACTATATGATTTGCATGCTGCACTTCCTGGTGTTACTCACCTCCAACATTTTAATTAAGAAACCTCCCTTATTCAATAGAAGATGTAAAAATATACACAGAAATTGTAGAATATGTAAAGAAATAAAACCCAAGTAATATTGCCTAAATGATGTGCACCTAATTAAAGCAATTTAGCTATTCAAAAATATATCTACTGTCTTCAAAGGTTCATTATCTTCTTCAACCCCTAAACAATATATGCTAACAATTGTAGACGAATACTCTTGTTTTTCCTCTGCTCATCCTGTCAAAGATATGACAACTCAGACAATAATTAACTGTTTCAGGGCGCGACAAATCATTTTTTTTTTTCACGGACGTTGACGTTCGTATCTTAAATTATTGACGAACGTCTAATTTAAGTGATACGTGTCAAAGAATATAAGATTATATTATATGTCAAAGAATATAAGATTATATTATATTAAGAATATAGTATAAAACTTATATTCTTAATATAATATATATTTAAGAATATAAGTTTTATATTCAAATAAATTTTTATTCTAGTTAATAAGCTTTTGGATATATGAAAGATAGTTATTGAATTTGATCAATTGTTATATTTTCGAAACAATTTTTTATTTATTTGCAAAGTGCGCGCAAATTATTGATTTTTAATATGCAATGATTGTATACTGTTATTCAACGATGCAAAAGTTTTTTTTTAATTTAGTTTGTTAAATTTATTTACTCATAAAATATATGTATAAACATAAAGAAATTAAAATAAAAGGAAATAAAGAAATAAATCGAAAAATGACGTCTCATTTATAAATATATATTGATTTTTATATTTATATAAATGGATTTAGAAATCGCTAGAACTTTTTAATTTATGGCCTTCCAAATGTCTAATACCAACCGCTGTGTCAATCCAATTTTTGACATGTTTTTGGGGCAAAAAGTCTTCAATTAACTGTGTATTATACGCATAATATCTTCTAAGGTATCGTCATTTAATGAAGTTCGCAAAATATTTTTTTGTAAGTTCTTACAAGAAAAACTGCGTTCGCAACTTGCCGTTGAAGCACTGAAAGTTAGCATTATCTCTAACAAGACATTTATACTTGCCAATTCAGGTTCATTTTCCCGCAAGATATCTTTATAAATGCTTAAAAGTGAATTTATCTTTAGTTTAGAGACTTTCTCCCTAAATAAAGGCCACTGCAATACACATAAATAAGAAGTTTCTCTGCTTCATCATAATATTGTTCTCATAAAAGTTGCAAACACTTTTTATTTCATTAAATCACCATTTTATCAACATTGCTAATATTTGGATACTTTTGGCAAACCCAGCAAGAGAAACACTCATTTGATTTGTCAATATGAATCCAGCTTAGTTGTTGCCTGTGTTTTTTATTGCTTGGCAGCAATCCATTTACGGTGTTCCAAAACATAAATTCAATATCTTTTGGCCATATATCCAATTTTCCCAAAGTCATAGCACAATTCAAGTCATTGCACTTTTCTTTCGAATGTTTAATTTCTCTCTCTTCTTCTCCTTTAACCCAGGACCTGTACTTATAAAAAAAAATGTGAATCAAACTCAATATGAAGATTCAGTTAACAAGTTTCAGTTTATTGAAGCAAATCCTCATTATGCTTATGTGAGATTTAATCTAGTAGTCATGAAACTATTGTGTCTATTAAACAGCTGGCTTCCATCAGAACAAGACCTATAATACAAACATCAAACAACAATTTAGAAATAACATCCATCGGTCCTATACCAACATCAATCCTCAAATCCTTGATGGTAGCATTTAAACTCCTTTACCCTCTAAAAAAAAACTAGAAAACAATCTGAATCCTACAGAGCAAGTATTTCATTTTTCATTGTAGATCTTTACAAATTTTTAAAGCACCTGAAAAACTTAACTTGTAAATACAGCTGAACACTTTTAAGAGGAGGATGAATGTTATGTTAATGTGATAGATATATATATATATATATATATATATATATATATATATATATATATATATATATATATATATATATATATATATATATATATATATATGTATATGTATATATATATATATATGTATATGTATATATATATATATATATATATATATATATATATATATATATATATATATATCGCTTATATTTTATATATTCCATATAAACAAAAAATGTTAATGCTAAATTTGGCAATTGTAAACTACATTTTAATTTGTTGAGATTTAGTTTATGTCTAAAAATTGTGCAAATATCTTTTTAAATGTGATAAAAAATATATACATATATACGCATATGGTTTAAATTTACCTGATACAAGAAAATTACCATTTCTTGAAAAATTAATTGCATTGACACATCCAAAATGAGCCAACAAATCTTTTCTATACAGACTCTGACAGTGATTAGCAATTTTATTCTGAGTGTAATTTATTGAGTTGGTTCCATAAACTTTAGCATGAATTTGAGACGAAAGCATAACTTACTAAAAATAGGAAACCATAAAAGTCAACTAGAGAAATCAGTTTATTGTTTTTAAATAAAATTGATTACTGTTGTCAACTTTTGTTCCTTTTTATTTATTAAACGAGTTATAACTATTATTAAATAACTATAAGTACTTGAGTATATAAAATCTGCCATAAGCTATATTTATATTAATGTCTATTAAGTATATAAAAGTTGCTATATCTACTTTTATATATTTAAATCAGATTATGTAAATTTCGATGTATGTAAAAATATGTATAAAGCTATATATGCTATAAATTTAAGCTTTAAAATATCAAAAATATAAGTAAATATAAATATTGATAGATATGTCTATATGGATTTTTATACCTAAATCTGTAATTTATTTTTCACTATGCTTATTTGTTAAGACATACTTTGTTGAATTATTTGTTAGAATATAACATCAACATAATTTTTTTTTAATTAGATCAGATTAGTTTAACTAAATTCATATCACTTTTTTTTTAAGTTACTAACATTTTTATTAACTTATGGGTATTTAAAGACTTCGTGGAAGTGGATTGTAATCAAAGACAAGAGGATATGGATATCACTCGCGGTTTTTAATTAAAAGTTTCGTACAGGTATGGAGAGAGGTAGAGGGGTCCAACAAAATCGAACGATGGCGAATAATGTGAAAAGTGCGGATAGTTGCTCTAGCGAAGCATTTGTATTTGGGCAAACATAAGGCGACCTCCACTAATTTTGATAAATTGTTGTAAGAAATATGATTGTTTTTGAAATGAGAAAAAACTTCAACCCTTCGCTTGTCACATTAAACAGGTTTTGAGTTCCAAGAACTTCTTGGAATTGGAATGTATATTGGAATACAAGAAATAGAAGTAATAGAATAATGTCTTGGAATACAATGAATCAAAAAAAATTTCCTTCTTGAAGAAGGAAATTTTAGCTTCGTGTAATATATATTAGTTCTCCAAATTTCGTTAACGATTTTTTGTCATCGAACGTGAATTCTATTGGCTTTTTTTAAAAAGCTATAGTTTCGATAACTTCAGTCAATTCAACTTTACAATTAAATAAGTATGATTTAAAAACTTCAACTTGATTAAGGAGCCGTCCACAAATTACGTTACGAAATTTTAGACCGTTTTGAATCCCTCTCTTTAGTAACTATATTCGCTCTTTAGTAACAATATCACCATGAATCACAAAACCACTACCCCCCTTCCCCCAAGCATGACGTAATTTTTGGACAACTTCTAAAGTAAATTAAAGATTAAATGAGTAAAGTTTTCAAAACAGTGTTAAAAACTTTTAAAAAGAATGCGTTCTTTTCTAATACTCACCATGGTGAATATTAACATTTTTTAGTGTATTTTTTTATGCTTTACGATCATATTAGAGTATGTTTACTCAAGTTTTCAGACCTATGTTTTTATATAATTCTGAATTAATATAATCTATTCTATAATAAATAATAACTGTTAATAATCAATGATAAAAATGGAGAGGGGGAGGGGAGAGTCGAGTAGCGCTGCTTTGATGTGAATTCTGTAACAAGTGTTAGTAGTTTTGAAACCTCTACTGAAATGTGGCAAAAAATATATCAACAAATTAACTGGTTCAGATATATCAACTTTCAATCTTCGAATGGTTATAAAATTTCTAGAGTTTGGCAAAAGCTATGTCACATTAAAAACATTTGCACATTGTTTGAATATGCCTGGCCCAATGACTAAAAAAACCTCTAACAATATAAACCAAATTTCACATGAGAAATATACTGAAGCTGCTGTTTAATACACTTCCTGAGTAGCACAAGAAACTGCTATTTTAATTAGTGGGAATTTTAGTGAAATTGCTACTAACTGTCAGCTATCAACCGTTACCTTGCTCTATAACTCTATTCTTTTTTTCTTGTAACTCCCAACTTAATAGTGATTACTTGAAGCCTTGTTGGGATTAAATCAGAATATAAAAAACAACATTAACAAAAATGTTTATGAACAAAAACACAAATGCATCAAATGCAAGACGAATAATTAGAGTTTTAAACAAACTAGTGAACTGGGACTTACAAGACGAAAAAAATTTAGGGCTATTGATAAAGGTTTCTTTGACAAAGAGAAGCAGACAGAACCAGTAAAGTCCTATTTACCTAGAGCTTTTTACGATTGTTTTCCTTGAATCTATATTTTAAAATATGGGACAAAAATAAGTTTTACAGGTCCAACTGACTTGAAATTTTCACAATATGTTTAATACATTTGTGTCAACAAAATGTATCAAAATCAATTCTGTAAGGACTAAGACACTTATTGATAGTTGAGTCTATTTTTTCATCATCAATTTTTTTTATAGTTTTTTCAAGACAAAAAAATTAATTAAATAAAAGTAAACTTTCGTTGGTATTTTTTAAGATAATAGCTTAAATCACCACCTTAAGTCTGCACAGTGGTATCACAACAGCTAGTATTTGATTTTAATATTTAAACAAACTAGTGCTAGTTAGATATGGATCCACTTTTTCGAATTCTTTCTTTTGTGTAGATATTCTGATACTCAATATCTGTTTTTTCTTTAAATTTTTTAAAATGTCTTCAATAATAAACTCAGGGTTAGCATTTAATTTTTCTAATTTATCTTGTAACTTAAATAGTTCAAGAATAACTTATTTTGGTTTTTTTTTTTTTCAAAAGATCTTTTTAATATTCTGGTTGGAAAAGAGATTTTCCAAAAACTTGTAAATTGATATAGTCTTATCAACCAGTTCTTAAAAGTAAGTTTAATAATAAAGTTGTTTTTCCACAAAATAATTCCTCTTATACTTTTAGGTAATAACTTATTATTACGCTTACTTTTGTTTACATTTCATGATAAATCTATAACATCCATTTATATATATATATATATATATATATATATATATATATATATATATATATATATATATATATATATATATATATATATATATATATATATATATATATATATATATAATTAATTTAAATAAAAAAATCTTTTCTATATAAAATGCCAGTAAACAAGATGGCATATATTGAAGGATATATAGAACAAAAAGAAGTATTTTTTATGCTGCATATGGATTTACAACGTTGTGCAGTACATAATAATGGAAGATGTGAAATATTTGCACAAAAAGATTTTGTTATAAAATCAAAGTCATACTTTAATGTTGTTTTAAAGTGTGGAGTAAGGATTATAAGAGGTTTTGCATTAGTTGCACTTATAGAAAAATATAAACCAATGCTAAATTTACTAGATTCTGTAGTAGCAGAGTCTGCTGATGATATTGTAGTAATTATATATAACAATAGCGCATAAGATAAAAAAATTAAAAAAGGAGATTTTTCCATATCTTATCTTTTAATGGGCATTAATTAGATCTAATTCTTATGTATCCTATAGATCTAAGAGTATAATATAAATTAATTTAGTAAAAATTGTATGATTTTAAAATAATTTAAAATAAACATTTCTTTATAAAAAGATGGATTATAATACAGATTTAAAAAATAAAGAGTATGAAATTATTTATCCAAGTTTATCGTCAGTTATTCCTACTGAACCACCTGAAAATCATGATGATGTAATTCGTCTGCGAAAAATTAATGAGATTCAAAGAGAAATAGAAATTAACAATAATTATCGTCTACGGAAAATTAGTAAGATTCAAAAAGAAATAGAAATTGACAAAGAAAAAAGAACTATGTTAAGTAAAAAGAACCATAGAGCTGTAAAAATCATTTCAACAATTGATAATGCATTATTAGCAAGCACTATTGCACTTGTAACTGTTGTAATAGTTATACCATCACTAGCTATTGCGTGTGAGGGAGTAGCATTAGAAGCAGGTGTATTAACATTAATATGTGAACAAGTTAATACAAAATTAATTTTAAAAGCAAAAAAGAATGAAAAGATTAAAGTGTTAGCTAATTCAAAACTAAATGAAATAAGCGATCATATTCATAAAGCTTTAAAAAATAGAAAAATTGATGATGAAAAATTTAAAATGATACTTAGTGAACTTGACAAATTTAAAGAAATGCTTGAAAGTAAGAAGAAATTCTAAAACTAAAATTGATGAACAAACTGGAGCATCATTAATTGATAAAGGAAGACAAGAAGCATTTAAAATATTGGAGCTTGCGTTTAATAAGAATCAAAATATAGCGAATAAAAATATAGCGCATAAAAACATAATAACGATTTAAAAAAAGAACGTAATCACGATATTTTTTTTTATCAAAGACATTTTTAAATTAATAATAATTTAAAAAATATTTTGTGTATATATAAATAAGTCATTTTTAAAAATTGCAGATCCTGAAAAAAGAGATCAAATGGTTAAAGAATTAAAGAAAAAGATATATCAGAATTCTATAAATGAAAATTTAGACGCTAATGATTTACAAACTCACTTAACAAAATAGTACAAGCCAATAATTGATAGTCAATCTGGTATAAAAAAAAACTTATCTAAATTAGAAGATAAAGCTGAAAATTTAGCACTCACTTTTTCAAATGCTTATCATAGAATAATGCCTGAACCTGAAATCAAAGAACCACCTGATAGTGAAATTAAAACATTAAAGTTAGGAAATTTAGCAACATATTATCTAAAGATGTGTATTACTAGCAAAAAGTCAATAGATACTACATTTGGAACTCATTCTAAAGATAACAAATTATATCTAGGAAAAAAGCCAATATTAATTGATAATAATAATATAAATATTGACGGAAAAACTCCTGGTCTTTGGGAGTTGATCACAAAATTTATTCCTTATAGATCTATATATAATGGAGATGATCTTAAAAAATATAAATAAATCTTAATTCAAACAGATGCAGTTCTCTCTAATGCAAATCCAGACAAACTAAAATCATCTCGAAATAAAAAAAATACAAAGAGATAATAGGACCAGTTTGGAGAGAATTAAAGAAGAAACCTGAACAAATAGAAACAGGTATACAAACTATAATTCGTCCTAGTGATCCAAATGAATTAATTGAAATGCTTACATTACGTGTATCTGCGTGGAAAGCAGGTAATACTGGAGCAAGAAATAAAGTTGTTGCAATTTGTAATGAATTAAAACGACAAAATGTGATCAGTGATGATCAGTATAAATCAATACAGAATAATTTAAGAGTAATTTAGATCTTTAATTTTCGATTTAATCTTATATATATATATATATATATATATATATATATATATATATATATATATATATATATATATATATATATATATATATATATATATATATATATATATATATAATATAATATATATATATATATATATATATATATATATATATATATATATATATATATATATATATATATATA